TTGGGGGGGGGGGGTTTATATATAATATATGACTTCTATTACATTTTAGCCATTCCTGTAAGAGGCCTAACCCAAGTGTAAGCGTGGTAATAAATAAATGTTTGTAAAAATTATTTTACATACTCACTTTGCGCCAGCTTTCTCAAACATGTCTGCCCATTTGTTTGCGTCAAAAAATTCAGCAGTAAACTCCTTGCCAAAGTCTGCATACGTAAAGTCTGGTGGATAATTCTTCTCCATGAATTCAACAACTGGCGGATATTTTTTGACTTTCCATCTATACCAAAACCACTCTGATGAGAAACTGGGGACTGAAAAAACTCCCCAGTGAATGAAGATACCCAATTTGGCATCATCGTACCAACCAGGCAGAGGCCTCGAATCTATCGACTTCCAATTAGGCTCGTAACCATTGACATCTTGGAACAAAGAAAGAAAACAGGCTGAAATCAGAAAGGAAAAGGCGAGACCTTTTCCGGCACAAGTTAACGATGTCATGTTAACCAGTGAACTGGCTGCAGAAACTGGCCGGCTGCTGAGCTGCTTATAATATTATCAAAGTCACATGACCAAACAAGCTGGCGATACTCAGGGAAACAAAACTGCGGGTTGATATTTCTGCCTGGGGGCGTTCTAATGAATGTAACTGGACTTACAAAAACGTCTAAAATGTTACATGCGAAGTACCTGTCGCTATAAATTACCTATCTTTGGCAAGGTGGGCAAAAGTCTTAAGATTAGAAAGCAACTAAAAAATATGTGAAGCGAGCTGACAAAAAGAGTTACTTCTCGGATTCAGGCCTTAAGGAAATAGATACATCACACTTATAGGTGAAGTTTTTACAATTTATAGGTATGAAATATAAGGAGTGTTATACTTAAAGAATATGGCATCTATAGAAAATTTACAAATTTGACCCTATACTGTAAATTTTTGGTCAATATCTCCATTTGTGGACTGTGAGAAGTAACTCATTGTGTCAGCACGCCTCACATATGTTCAGATGAGAGGGAAAAAAACGTTCATTTCTTTCACAAACTGTACCCACGTTGTGAATCTTTTCTTGCTTTATATTATCAACAATAAAGTTTCGGGTTTCGACCAAACATTTTATGTGTAAGCAATTGACACCAAAGGTTAAGAATCTGCAATCTAAACAAACAAACAAAATTCAAAATGGTGGGCTTAGCTCATCTGAACAGCAGCTGGCCGACTGTTTTACCCAATCCCACCTTCCACCGTTTTGTTTTCCATTCCCAGGCACGCACACGCGCGCGCACATACACATACACACACACACACACACACACACACACACACACACACACACACATACACACACACACACACACATACATACACATACACATACACACACATGCACACATGTACACACACAAGTAAGTAAGTAAGTAGGCCTAAGTAAGTACGTTTATTCAGTGTTTGAGGCCATTGGTCCGCATCGCATGAATAAAACACTCATTTGCTTTAAAACGTTTCCACAATGAAAAAATGTATTAATTACCACAGATTTGTTATGAAAAAATAAATAAATTGTCACGGTTTTCCTTCTGCGGACAAATAAATTTTGTTTTTTTACAGTAAATCATGTCGGCGAGCGTTGACTCTGTTTAGAAGCTGCAATATGTTTTGTGATGAGCTATCCGTGAAAGATTATAAATGGTTTTACTGTAATCAGTATTCGAATATTTGTTTTTGTAAGTAACTACAGCACTTATCTTGTTTTTAGTTCAATTATAAAGCCAATCAAAAATCTGAGCAAGTTAATCACAATTGGTAGGAAGTCTGCACCTATTGCCATTTTCAGCATAACATCAACAGATTGGAAGCCATCAAGGATAACCCTGCCACAGTTTTAAAATCAACATCTACAAGTATAATACAGACACATACTATGACAGTAGTTGTAATATATATTATTATTATGATTAATGTACTTGAGGACAGTTTGCACTCTAGAAAAGTGAGAAGAATCTATGAACAGGAAAACACTTAAGAAACACCTCATTGTCGTTCGTTTTTGTTTTGTTTTTCCTTCATCGAAACGAACTTCTTGGCAAACGCTCAGTACTGTTTGATACAGCAAAGGTCACGTATAAAATAACGTGGATGCAGTCGTCCCATATCTTGAACTTAAGGCTAGTTTGCAGTTTAGAGGACTACGATGAATCTATGAACAGGAAAACACTTATGATACTTATGTTTTAGTTGGAGATTTTTGTTGTTGTTGTTTTGGGTTTTTTTGTTGTTTTTTTTTGGGGGGGGGGGGAGTTGGGGGGGGGGGGTTCGTATGTTTTTTACTAATCCAAGCCAATTTCTTGTCAAATATTTCAAGGACACTAATCGCATACCTCTGATTCCCGAAGCACTCTCGAAGAGACAGAACATAAACCTAAACCCTCTTTTACCGTGACCTGGGTCATTTAGGAGGACTACTCCTGCCCTGCTTGAGGAGCCAGCTCAGGCTGGCATGGATTAGATCTAGATCTACATCAAAGTCACAATTTTCGAATGAAGAAGAACGAGGCAATGAAAGTGTCTAATGCTGAGACATACGGGGCACTAACTATTATGAACCATGCCACAATGTAGAAATAGGACAAAAACTCTGCCTAATTATTGTTCAGTCTCTTGCGCCAGGCCTGGGATTAGTTTGAAACTGTATAAAGACGTAAAGGTATAATGCCCTTATCGACAAACAGGCTACTTAGACCATGTGTGTGCAGCAAGCCTGTACTCCAGTGAATTGTATTTTTATATTTAAAAAGACACTGATACATTTGTACTAACGTAGATAGATCAAAGTGCGGTGCGGCACTACCCCGGTGAATTTGTAACATTTACTATAACGGTCCTTTCCTGATAGTTTACAAGATGAAGGCTCGTTGTTTTGGGGGCATTGATTCGTTGTTCATGCAGATTTTCCCATCTGTTTTCTTTATCTGTTATTAAAAACGGCAGGCAGAAGCCAAATGTATTCTCTCTTATACGAAAATTGTTATTTCTGGTCTGTGAATGAGGGTTCCAATCATCCTGCAACAATGACCTTCATCTGCTGCTGATCGGACATTTCGCTGTCGTAGAATTATAAAGCTCTATCTAACATTTTTGGACGTTTTGATTTACTTAGATCGTGAGGTCAGAAACCGAATGCTCTGTCTGTTCTATCAAAATCGCAAGATTAGTAAAAGTCGGTATTAAGATTGAAAGAATTGCATTCAGGGGTTTTCGTGGTGTGGAGGTTAAGGTGTCCGGCACTCATTCAAAGTCTCGGGTTCGAATCCAGGTAGCGACGGAAAACTTTTCTTCTCTAAAATTGTCTCCTTTCACCTCCTTTCATGCTCTCTAGCTATGTTCTGTGGTCTGCTTTCGGTTCCACTTTCTGCCCCCACCCCCTCACCTCCTTTGTCCCCTCCTCTGGGATCCTGACTCTTTCTGCAGCTTTTCTACTGCTAATCCTTGGCTCCTTTTACTGTTGTCTTTCAGCCACACCCATGAATCTCTGGTAGGAAAGATCTACGCCTAGCCTTTTCGGACAAGAGAGAAAAATCTCAGAGGTCCCTTGGTGGTCTAAAATCGATAAGAGTAGGCTTTGGCCGCCAACCGGGCAAAGTTCAAAATTTCCTGCCCCAACTGAAAATGTTTAATGTGTCCCTCGCGCTCAAATGTCCTCATGTAGGTGTGAGCGCGGTAAAACACAAAAAAACCGTTAAAGTCGGAGGTCCTGCCTCTTAAATAAGTGTATTATGTTGACACAGGCGTTAAACCTATACCAGTTTGCTTTTCCAAAAATTCCATACTTCAGAAGTCAAGGTTTAATTTTTTTAAAGGGTATAGTTGACTTTAAACTGCCAGACGTAGAGTACTTGTTAATATAGGAGTCAGACTCTTGTATGTTTTATAAAGTGCAAATAGACTGGTTGTTGGTGTACCAAGGAATTAATAGATTAACTCAGAGCACCCCCACAGCCACTGCACCCTATCTTACCCCCGAAAAGATTTGAGGTTTCAGGAAAGGGTAGGGGATTTTTTTTTACTGACAATAATATCACGACTAAACAGACATTTTTCCCAAAGAGCCTTCTGACGTCAGAAATGTCTGTCCTATGCCTGGCTATTGAAAAAGAAAAAAGTCCTTCGTGACTGGCCTGAAAGTACCTCGACTAAATCCATTTCATACAGTTGACCGGCTTTTAAGTCAGCCAGCTTCGGCATAAAATGTCATCGTATTTATACAAGACATACAAAGAAGTAAAAATGAAATATCGAAAGATACGCCAAATTATACAACAAATGTACTTTTGAATCCAATATGGAATGATAAATTCATATAAAATAATCACGAAATTTTAAATCGCAAAAACGCTTCTAGGCTCTTCACGGATCGAATGGCTGTATAGCCTGTGGGAATGGCCACGAAATATGTAAATAACAGAAGACACACTTATAATAGTCTTAATCGGCTGTTAGGCACGTTTGGGATTATATCTACCAAATTCTGAGTAGACTTTCTGCAAGGGTGTGAGAGTGTCAGATAACATTAAAATTGGTCGAGGGTAAACGCCCCCTTTTCTTATAACTCGACGATATGTAAACTTTAGAAAAGAGAAATGTGCATACTATAGAAAATCGTGTTCAAATTCGGTGACAACTAAAGCATAATGATCCTATGCAGGTTCAATAGCACTCAACTGGCTTTTCTAAAATGTGCATACTTTTAAAACAGATTCTCGTCATAGCAATATGCATTTTGACAGCACACAACCAGCTTATCTAGAAAGGACGTACAAAACAGTTGTCCTTGTTATTATTTCAAACATGAACACAGAATAATTTAAATCATTCGTGTGTGGAATCAAAGATATTAAAATTCCACATGTGCCTAACTTACCACCTCCCTATACTGCCAGGAACATAAGGCGGATAGCATTCGACGCCACGATTGCCTGTCCCTGGCGACCTTCTTCATGCAGACCCTGTGTGATTACCTCATCTTTATTGTGTCTCTGTAACTTCCTGCTTTTCCACCTCTTTTTTACTTTTTCCAGTTGGTCTCCAATACCACATCTAATACGCAATCATGTCTTCTGCACTCTTAAAATTCTCCTGAATATCTCCATTTTCTCCTTTTTATGGTCGTGTTGAGATCTTCAATTTCAGCTCTTTCCAATACTTCATTATTTGTAATATATTCATTTCTTATTATTTATAAAACTCTTCGTAAACATTTTGTTCGGAAGCTTTTTTAATTCTCGTTGAACTGCTTTGTTTGTTTCCAACATTTATGAAACGTAGTCAGTAGAGTCAAAACATAGCAATTATACATAATTAATTTCGTCTTCAGTCAAAATGACTCTAAATTCCAGATGTATCTTTCTTTCATTTGACGAAATTGATCCACGCGTTTTAAGTCTTTAGTGGAACTCGTCAATGCAGTCTGCAGTTTTGGACATAATGCTGCCAACGTACTTGAATTTACTAATTTCTGCAAGAAGTTCTCCATGAAAAGTGGTGAGAGTGGTTTCTGGAGATGATTGCAGCACTTCTTTTTGGAAACAATTATTACAAGGCCAACTTTTGTGTCCAGTCCTTACTAAATCATTTGTTTTTAATCTCATTTCATGTACTGTCGTGCGTGAGGGGCAGATGTCATAGGCAAAATCTAAATCGACTAAATATGTTCCATTTGTTCATCCAATACCTGTCTGAATGTCTTTGCTCTGTCTCATTTCAAAATCTATCACAATTCATTAAAGTACAGGTGATAGTTTATTGCCTTCTAGAGTTAGCACTAGAACTTATTTCAAAATGTGTCTCTAGTTCTCCTTCAGCTAGGACACATCAGCTAGCTTTGGTATATAATACTGATTTAAAACTGTTTATTATTTTCATTAGGAGTCATAAATTGCAAGTTGCAGTGACCTTTCGGTAAATGCTGTCAAGGGCTTTTTAATGTCCACAAATTTCAAAATAATTTGGACTTTCCATTTTTTTTTATTTCTTCCACAATATTTCTCAGAAAAATGCATTTGTGCATGCATGCTTCAATATTCCTGAAAAAATACTGGCCTTTTGAAATTTCATAACAACAGAAAACAACTGGAAATAAATCAATAATAGACATCTTCCCTATCACCACCACTAATTGTTTTAAACATTTAGAATTTGGTAAAGGTGGGCTCACTGTTTATGCCCTCTATTTGGACTGTTTGAGAAGGGACTATTCATTTTTTCAATTTTTTATTATGACAAACAAGCCTACCTAGAAGAACGAAATAGAATCATACCTAAGGGTGACACGGCAGAAAAACAAGAACAGTGAATCAAAGGATAAATGCAAGCAGAACTAAGATCATACGTTATAATACTGTTATATTTAATTCACAAAAATATAAAATTATTTATAAAAAGAGCAGGTAAACAAAGAAAACCAAAATACTACGAGACTAAACGTTATTATAAACAGGTGTGGTTGTTAATTACAACTGAAACATTCTTTTTTGGGGGGGGAGGGGGGGGGCATTTTTAAACAAAAATCCAAGGCTCATTGATCTGTCTATAAATTGTTATATCTTCATAAAAAGTAGTTTTTGCAAAGCTTGAGTCTCTAGTCAGGAGAAAACGTTTACAACAACATAACGACACATCGTAATTTTTGTCCAAATTCAGTTCTCCACAGCCGTGATCTTGAAGACCCACACCCACTGGCAAGGCATTTTGCTCACAGCAATTGGAGGAACGGAGATGTCCAGCCCTCTAGGACTACGAGTATGGAAGTTGAACAAGGCCGGATACCCCAGTAGAGATACTTTGGTAGCAGAAGATACTTGAGGTAAATCAAGGCTGAGAATCTCCGTGTCTGGCCAGTAGAAGACAAACGCGTACACGGACGTGCCACTGGTCTCGGTTTTCTTTGTGTACCTAAAAAGATAAGTATGAGATTTAGCCAAATCAAGTTTCATTGTATTTGATTTTGCTAAATGCAATAACATCAACTGTTTAAAGAAAGATTTTAGGATATATTTTCATTCAACTAATGTTGAAAACGATAAAATGATTCAAAAACAGTGCCTTCTGGATACAGAGCAACAAATTCAAAAAGATACAAAAATCTAAGTCTAACATTCTAATACCCTGATTATATTAATATGTGAAAATAAGGTAGCTGAGAGAGAGCAATAAATAATAGCTCGTCCGTCAATTTTGGCGATGACCAATACATCCGCAGAGAAGACCATTTCTCCAGCGAAACAAACGAGTTAGAAAATAGATTATTATTATACGGTTAACATGAAGTGCGGCTTCTGTTGTGGCCGATGAGACCAATTCTGGCAGAGACAAGCTTGCCACGTTATCTTTTATTGTTTCGACCGCATTGAGGCATCCCTACTGATCGCGGTGGACCAGTCAGAGTAGATGAGGTGAACTCTCTTTAGGGCACCTTTTCTAGCTCCTTCCCCTTGTGGGGTGACCAGTGCTGTCCTAAATAGGTTCCTCAGATACCATGGGTGTTGCCGGATCTCACAATTACCTCAACACGGTAATGAAACGACCAAAACCCAAAGCCTACATACGTTGAGGTGTATGCTAACAGCTCCCAGCCTATGCAAGCTTGCTGCCACCACACTCACCCGTCACCGAAGGAATTTGATGGGGATGGACGGTAAAGAGAGGGAAAGGATGGATAAAAGCAGATGTTTGACTAGCGGAACGGTTTGTTGAAAGTGAGAAAGAACAGCGTAACCATCAAAATCACTCTCTCGCCTAGGTGCAATGTATCTGATGACAAGAGAGCAGATATCATAAAGGGGTAACTATGTGTAAAAAATATATTGTCAGTCGGTTTAGGAATTCTTGTATCTCTGTGGACAGCAGAAGTTTGTGAGCGGGGAAATGTAATACACCCCCCTCTTTCTACACAATACACACCATGCATACACGAGAAATAGAATGTTACTCACCATACACCTTTGGTCACCGTCTCATTCTGGTAAGTCCAGGGCCTGGAAGCATAGACACCCTCGCCGTTAACTTCGAGCCAGGACCCCATCTGAGTTAGTCGTTCTTCATATATTGGAGCAATTTGGCCATGTTTGGGGGGTCCTACATTCATTAGCATGTTGCCTCCGCAGCTGAAAATAGATCAAACAAAAACAGTGTCAATTTACATTCGTGTATCCCCAACCCAAAACTGAAGGTTTAGGCTGCATGTCCACCACGGCAGAAATGACCAGAATATTTGTTTGGGAGAAAGCGATTCGGTCTGTTTATTTCCGGCGTGTGTGTCCACCAACAAAGTAACAGTTCTGAAATGACCCGACTAGACTGTTTGCCTGCAGGCTTACTTATTTACCTCAGGCGTGTGCTTGTTGCTGTGATTGATTTTTGTCACTCTTGTCGTAATACATTATGTGTACTAATATGTGAATATTTCTTCAATCAGTTTTTCGCCTTCCATCTTTTTTTCTAACGGTTATTTTCAAACTCAAGTAATACCTAACTGAGTACCAAATTTAACACACTACGTAGTAAGATAGACCTCTGCGCGGCAAGCCACAGTCAATAATGCCGCATTTCTCGCAACTTTATTTCTGAGTTACAACGTTTGTATTCGCTGTATGGAAAACAAAATATTCACTGGTTGCTAAAGTATACAACCGGTGATTCATTTCAACACACCAATTTCCCGAGAGACGGGCGACAAACGGTCGATCGTTTTTTATTTTGTTTTTTGGTGTTGTGAACGCGCGGGTTTACCCCTACTCACTCACTCACTTGACCCAATTCTAACCCACCATTCCAAATCACTATCTTAGATCCCGAGAGGCAGACGGTGAGATAGCCTATTAGACTCTATTAGGCTGTCATAATTTACCTGATAGTAATAATGAATGTTTGCAGCAATTCCTCAATGCTCAGATAATCAGACAACGGAGCATCACGTCTGTAACCCCACGATCTTTTGTCGATGGTCATCGCGTTCTCCCATTTATGTTTCTGGATGACACCTGAGGGTATACAAAAACAATAATACATGCATTTGATACATAGCATTTGTGTAGCGCATTTTCCATTTCAACAGCAAGCTCTACGTATTGTACAATCTATATTATTATTATCACCCAGCAGAACCGATAGCATTCTGAAGAGACTTCCTGGGAACCATACGGTGCACGCAGCCAGTTTACAGACCCTAAAACACTAAGGCTAGTACCGCACTACGACATTCTTGTCTCGGACAGGACTGCTCTGCCCCACTGTCGATTGTTTGCATGTCAAAACAGATGCCGCACTAGGACAGGACTCATCTGGCGCATAAGGTGGCGTTTTCGTTGTTGCCCACGGCGGGGTTAAAATGCATTCGAAAAATATTCCCTTAATATTGTCCAAAAAAATAATAAATAATAAGATGTTCGTGATCAGCGACCCAAAAGTAGCAAAAAACACGCGGGGAACGCAATTTAAAGCCCGATTACGAAGTTAAATTATATTTGTGAGTGCGTGTGCGTATAGTGGGTGTGTGTATGTGTGTGTGTGTGTGTGTGTGTGTGTGTGTGTGTGTGTGTGTGTGTGTGTTTCACCATTCGGCCGGTACTAGGCCAAGATCTAGATTGTATCTTGTCTTTTATGTCTCGATTGCAAAAGCCAACATCAGCCTTGTTGTTCAAACATGTTTACTTTCCAGTGCACGAATTAAGTTTTCTATCCAATCTGGATCAAAATCCATTTTGGTGAGAATAGACTGTTTAGAAACAACCGAGCGAAAGCAGCTGACAATTAAGTTGAGAATCGAGATGCAAAGCACGACATAGGGGCCTACTGCACCCTGTTGTGTGTAGAAGCTTGGACCAGAGAAATGTTTACGTTGCTGGGTTTCTGCTTTGACTTCCCTGCATATGTGCAACGCACCGGGTGACCTTGATACACAACTTCACCTTTGACGATTAATTAAAAAATAAAATTATTTGCTAGAATTTACATTGTATTGCATCAAATCAGGTTCACCGGGAGCCGTTTTGCTTATTTTGAGACGCTGATTCCGAATATGAAATCAGTTTTGAGATGCGATAGTTATTTTCAAAATTTGGTGCCCCAATTTTAATCCTTGGCGGAGGCAGTTTGTCCTGGGACAGACAGACAGACAGACAGACAGACAGACAGACAGACAGACAGACAGACAGACTGACTGACAGACAGACTGACAAACGAGAAAAGATAAGTTCATGTTGTTGTTGCATCTACTTTACTTGTTTAATAAATTGTTAGATCTACTTTGTTATTATGAAAGAATAACTGAAGTCACAAAATTCTCTTCCTTTTTTCTTTTTTTCTTTTTTACAATAACTCCTGTTAACCTGAACTCAAATCAAATAGCTTAGAATGCTGGTAATTTTATTGTGTCATTCATTGCTTCACTGACATTATCAGCCTGATTGAATGATTAATTGATTGATTGATTGATTGATTGATTGATTGATTGATTGGTTGATTGATGGTTGGTTGGTTGGTTGGTTGGTTGGTTGGTTGGTTGGTTGGTTGATTGATTGATTTTTAACCAACTTACCTGGATTGAAGCGGTCCCCGCAAGTGTAGAAACCCCCATGCGTACAGTTAGCGTTCGATCCCCATCTGTCGTTTACAACAACCGTGTCCTTAACAGGGCTGGGAAACAAGAGAAGGAATTACTTACTGAATTAAATTAATACTAAGGTTTCGAAGCTATAAGATGATATGGTAAAGTGTAATAAAACTTAATAAAGTGATGCGGTGTTGTGTGTTGTGGTGTGGTGTGGTGTGGTGTGGTGTGGTGTGGTGTGGTGTGGTGTGGTGTGGTGTGATGTGGTGTGGTGTGGTGTGGTGTGGTGTAGTGTGGTGTGGTGTGGTGTAGTGTGGTGTAGTGTGGTGTAGTGTGATGTATTGTGGTGTGGTGTAGTGTGGTATGGTGTGGTGTGGTGTGGTGTGGTGTGGTGTGATGTGGTGTAGTGTGGTGTGGTGTGGTGTAGTGTGGTGTAGTGTGATGTATTGTGGTGTGGTGTAGTGTGGTATGGTGTGGTGTGGTGTGGTGTGATGTGATGTAGGGTGGTGTGGTTTGGTGTGGTATGGTGTGGTGTGGTGTGCCAAGCCATACCAGGTTGAGAGGAATACTATATCCTAGCAGAAAGACCACACACAAAAAAAACTCAATAAAAAATCTCGCCTCTCAAGATTCGAACTGAGGTGTCCTGCATGTTAGAGCAAAGTGCCTAACCGCTACATCACAGACATCGGTAAAAAAGCTGATAGTGAAAGATTACTATTGGTTTTACTGTCATCAGTATTTTCTGTTGTAAGTCGTTACGGTGCGTAACTTTCTTATTTCAATATTCAAGCCAATCCAGAAAAAATATTCTTCGGGTTTGTCGCAACTTCTTGTATGTCCGTATTGACCTCTATTTGAAGTATTGAATCAGCAGGTTGAGATCCATCAAGGAAAACCTTGGCACAGTATTTATCGATATCTACGTACGCTTACGCAAAAACAAAGTCTGATCATGTACTATCACTATCACAATGCAAGACACATTCCAGTACAGAGTTTGATACAGGAGAGGCCACTTGAGATTGCCCGAAACATGTGACAAAAATGTTGTAGTGGTCTTAGACTTGAGATAGTCCAAAATGTGAAAAAATGGTAGTGGTCTCAGACGCTCATATCACGAACTTGGGACCAGTTTGTAGTTTAGAAGACAAAGATGAATTCATGAATAAAAAAAACACTTAAGATACTGTGTTTTGTTGTTCGGTGGGTGTGTCTTTTTAAGAACTTCCTGTCAAATATTTCAAATAGAGGCACTCTGGAAAAGATAGTGGTCATAAATGTGAAGGTTTCTTTGCCGTTGTTGCAAATATTTTACGCCTCCTAAATGATTTAGGACATCTCGTACAAAGACCACGTTTCAAATGCTGAGGTACGAAAGAGAATCGCCAACGCAGTGGGGCAATATGAAGATCTACTGACCACAGTGAAGAGACGAAAATTAAAATGGTATGGGCAGGTCACAAGATCCACAGGACTTGCCAAAACAATCCTGCAAGGAACCAAGGCAGAGAAAGAGATGGGAGGACAACATTACAGAGTGCAGAGGAAAGACGATGGGTGACAATCTGAGGAAAGCAGAGGACATAAATAGATGGCGAGAGCTGGTTTTCAGATGCAGTGGTGCCCCCACAGTTGCCCCAACCACGGGATAGAAGAAGAAGAAGAAATGATTTAAAATGGATAGCTGGGGCCTATATAAATAAATTACGGATGGTCATAAGACTGGCTATTTCAATCTGGGCTGTCATGGATTACATTCAAGTCAAAAATCTTCCTTTCATGGAAAATGAACTCAGATTTCGAGCCTGTAAAGCAAAGATGCTCACGGCTATAACAGCCCAAACTGGGTTGAGGGGTTTTTGTGTTTTTGATTAATGTAGGTGTTTTTTACGCTCCTACGACATTTTTTTTTTAATTAGAACGCAATTGGTCGCTTTTAAGGACAGGCAGGCTAACTCAGATTTCGGGGGTTTCCAGAAATCTTGACCTACACCCAAAGTCGGCATTGCCCTACCTATAGGAGAAGTTTGGTTACAGTGGTGTGTATATTTGTTTGGCTATAGGAAAAACTCTTCTTGTCTTTTAAAGCAAAAGAACAAGGGGCAAAGACTTTACCTTCGATTTTCTCAAAACAGCATTTTTGGGGATAGCCCCCTTGTGCTTCAAAGCTATCAATTTCAGCCCTGCCTGCCAAGTCCAGCCCGGGCTGAGAGGGAAACAACTTCCACACTGCGATTGCGTTCCGTTTGTGAACAGGAACGACACCGCTGTCTTTTCAAGTCCCACCCTACCTATTGGTGTAGAGCCAAGCGAGGAACTCCTTAGACTTCCAGTACACATCCGGAGCTTCCCAGTCCCCATCAGACCAGACCACCTCAGGCTTGTAGGTCTCCACAATCTCATACAGCTCCGGCAATGTTTTGGCCTAAAAAAAAACCCACAACAACAATAGAATATTCACATTCTTGAGTTTCAGAACCAAAAAAAAGATATCTTTGCGTCATTACTTGACGTAGTGGAAAGGTCCTATAAGCGATGGTATTATCAAACATTATCTAAAACTGTATTATAACAAGACATTACTCAACACGACATTTCTCTGGGTTTTTTCTTTTTCTTTGTTTCTTCTCTTTCGGCCTCCAGGCGGAACCAGAAAGGAATATTGACATTGAAAAACTTACATAAAGCGAACACACTAACTCAGTAACTAATATTCAAACACACACACACACACACACACACACACACACACACACACACACACACACATACACACACATACACACCCAAAGACACCCACATTCAAACAAAGAAGCAATACATTAATCCATGCCCAAACTCACATTGACAAAATCTTGCGTCTTATATCCGGACGCCTTATCCTTCAGATACAAAGGGTGGAACCACTCATACATTGAGTGATACAGGCCAAACCTCAGGTCAGTCCGGCTTCGTGTAGCGTTCATGAGCTCACCTGGGGAAAAACACCAGAGCATTATCTTTTCCAAGACAAAATGGTTCATTTTTACGCTACACAGACACGACATAAAGACTGTTCAGTGTTGACCCATCGTACGTCACTTTACAAAATGGTGTATGGCGGCGTCTTACACAAAGCAGCTTATGTTGAAAATCTTGCATTCAGCTATAGATTGCCATTAATCAATTTCTGTTTTATTATTTATTTTTTTACAAACTTGTAGAAAACGAACAACACAATCATTATTCGTGTAATCACATAGACCGACAGACAGAAGGAACCGGATAAGCATCATAACAGAAATTTCAAAGGAAAAAAATGAAGTATTTTAATGTAAGTGATTTTTATGCCCCTATTGAAACAGTTTAGACTATTTAGGAGGCGGGCTTCCCAGCCTGCCTGTCAGGGCCAACCCGGGCTGTGAGGGATACAAAAACCCAGGAGACAGACCCAGATACTCAATAAAACTTTTCTCCCCACTCTGGAATCGAACTCAGGTCGGGGGCTCTCGTGGCCTAGAGGTTAAGGTGCTTGCCCTTTCATTCAAATGTCCCGGGTTCGAATCCGGGTAGCGACCAAACAATTTTCTACTCTATAATTGTCTCCTTTCACCTCCTCTAGCAATGTTCTGTCGTCTGCTTTCGTCTCCTCTTTCTGCCCCCACCGCCTCACCTCCTTTGCCCACCTTCTCTGGGCTCATGACTCTTTCTGCAGCCTTTCTACTGTTACTCCTTGGCTCCTTCTTACTGCTGTCTTTCAGCCACACTTATGATCTTCTGGTAGGAAAGATCTATACCTAGCATTCTCGGACAAGGGCGAAAAATCTCAGAGGGTCCGTGTGCAAGTTGCGCACGTTAAAGATCCCTTGGTGGTCTAAAATCAATAAGAGTAGGCTTCGGCCGCCACCCTTGCAAAATTCAAAATTTCCTTCCAACTGAAAAAGTTAAATATGTCCCGCGCGCTCATATGACCTTATGCAGTTGCGAACGCCGTAAAACACTTACCAAAAAAAAGAACTCAGGTCTCCTGCTTGCCACAACGAAGCGCCTTACCACGCTATACCCTCTCTATTCATGTACTTATACCAACAGGCAAAAGGTACTGGCACAGCATCATAACAGAAAGTTGGAAGTGATAATGGAGTAGCATCCTCTTGTCATTTCAAAGGAAAAGGATTAGTTGGTATCGTGTACAGCTAAGATTATTTGAGACTTTGGTTTCAATCCCAGAATCCTCAACTTGGGCTATTTGGGGAGTTTTCGTGGTCAGTCCCCTCAGGGATCTACACCGCATTCAGAGAGACCGCTCTTTATCACATGTTGATAAGGCCGTAAGATATAGAATATGCTATTCCTTTTCTGCTCTCTAGCAATGTTCTGTCGTCTGCTCTCGTCTCCTCTTTCTGCCCCCACCCCTCACCTCCTCTGGGCTCCTGACTTTTTCTGCAGCCTTTTTACTACACTCCTTGGCTCCTTCTTACTGTTGTCTTTCAGCCACACCCCTGATCTTCTGGCAGGACAGATCTACACCTAGCCTTCTCGGACAAGGGCGAAAAATCTCGGAGGGCCTGTGTGCAAGTTGCGCACTTTCAAGATCCCTCGGTGTCTAAAATCGATTAGAGTAGGCTTCGTTCGCCACCCGGACAAAATTCAAAATTACTAGCGCCTGAAAAAGTTTAATGTGTCCCGCGCGCTCATATTGTGACCTTATGCAGTTGCGAGCGCCGTAAAACACTCCT